AAATGCTACTTAAACTACTTTTGTAGTATGTTACATAAAATTTGTTTGATTGCCTAATAAGATTAAATACTACTTAAACCATTTTTAGAGTATATATACAAAATTTTGTTTGGCTTGCCTTAAGACAAAATGTAACTTGAACTAGTTTTTTAGTATGTTATATAAAATTTTATTTGACTTGCCTTAAGTAAAATGCTACTTAAACTAGTTTGCAGTATGTTACATAAATTTTGTTTTTTCTGCCTTAAGACAAAATGCTACTTAAACTAGTTTTATAGTATGTAACATAAAATTTAGTTTGACTTGCCTTAAGGCAACTGCTACTTAAACTAGTTTTATAGTACGTCACATACAATTTTGTTTGACTTCCCTCACGGTAAATTCTACTTAAACTAGTTTTGCAGTATGTTACATAAAATTTGTAAAATGATACTTAAACATAGACTTTATGCACATGTATGTATATGTGTATTATAAGGTCTATGAACTTAAACTAGTTTTATAGTATGGAACATAAAATTTTGTCTGACTTGCCTTAAGGTAAAATGCTACTTAAACTAGTTTTATAGTATATTACATAAAATTTTGTTTGACTTGCCATAGGGACATAAAAATTTGTTTGACTTGCTCTAAGGTAAAATGTTATTACAACTAGTTTGTAGTATGATATATGAAATTTTGTTTGACTTCTTAGGCAAAATAGTGCACAACTACAACTAGTTTAGTAGTATGCTGAAAATTTTTTTTTGGAGATAATAGATTGAAATAAAAGTCAACTTATAAGAAATATAGCCTTATGGCTAAAATTCCAACATCCATACAGTTTGGTATTCGTCTCATGTGCGGCAATCTTTAAAATTCAAATACCCATAATCTAGTAGGAAATATCGATAGGCGAAAATATCGATCTAACCAATAATCATTGGCGTTTTGTCATGTTTACCAAATTGAAGTTGTTTGATATCTGAATTATGTTCCGAGAGCGAGTTACTTCCATTCGTATGTAGGGTATGTCTGTTATAGATCTCCTCAAAATTTATACGGGTTTTGGTCAACAATGCGCATGTCGCCTACTGCTTTGACGTACCTTCTCCCTTGTCGCTGCCCTATTACGTGCGAAATTGTTCAACTAACATGAACGTTTTATAACCTAAAACTCATTTTAAATGTGCTCGACACATTACGACAATAGTTAAATATCGCGATAAATGACTTTGTTCAAAGTGCAATATGTGACTTTCGTTTTTGGAGAATTTTATTAATGGTTTTATTATATTTTATCAGCATCTTTGTGTGATCTGTTCAAAGTTGATGTTATTTAAAAGTGGTTTTGTGCAATTGTAATTATCCACGCAGAACTTGGTTTAAAGGTATGTACAACCTTTATAATTTTGATTATATTAAATATATTGATTTATACTATCATCTTAACCGGTTGTCATCAAACTTATCATTCACTGTTATCGCGGTTTTAAGTGGATTAATATGATGTTCCGACGACAATTCGCAAACCGCTTGATATGTGGGCGTTGTATCGATTAAATAGAAAAAGCCTATATGTGTATTTTATTTACAACGTGTTCAGCTGATTATATACTTTTGCTGGAATATTTTTTTCATAGTTGTCATTTCTATCGGGACCGTGGAAGTGGTTTTGTACATCTTAAGCCCTTTTCTAGACCCTACACATTTTGTCTAGGCCCAAAGCACTTATGGGCGCCCCAAGCACTTACTGTGGATCTTGGTGCTTAAAGTTGTTGGTGTGGATTTTGTTTCAACATAGACACTGTGTGGTCTATCTTTAGCAAATGAAAATGATACACTCGAACTTGAAGTATTTTAGGTTAAATGGTTTAATGATTTTTTTTCTTATATGATGTCTTGCCTTTGCATGCAATCTTTTTCTTACCAATTGAAATATCACCAATAATATGTCATTTTAATTTCATGCACATGTAATTAATAAAGTAATGGATTTTTTAAAAATCTTAAGACAAACACAATGCTATGATACTCTTACATACTATGATATTAACATATAAAAACTAGTTGTAAGTAGCAATTTTCCTTAAGGCAAATTGCTTGAACTAAATAATTAGCTTAAACCATAAGAATTGACATTCAGCTATTTAGGTAAAATGTCCAATTGTTCTTTCAAAATTAAAATTTTCGCTTTTACCAAAATATAATCAATGCGATTTCCGATTGATGTCTCCCGAACATACTGTTCATTGTATAAATTTCGTGGTCTAAAAGTGTATTTCATTTTTATGTAGACGTTAACCATAATCAGTAGTACATACGATACATTTACGTGTATATACTTTAAACTAGAGTTTGATCTCGATGAATTTTTATAGTTTAACCACTTATCGTAGGCCAATAATATTTTATCAAAATAGTAAAAAAAAGTGTCATCAAAATAGTAAAAAAAATATTAGTTACGAAGAAACATCTCAGCCGATTTTTACTTTTTTTCAACGCGATCCCTAACTAATATCTTTCGAACAGTTTTAAAATTTTTAAAATCGATTCAAGATTGTGGGCTAAAACGTAGACAATTTTTTTACACTTTTCTGCATATTACAAAGAAACGACCTGGCCGATAGTCGCGCAAAACAACGCTAGTTCTCATCGAGTTACATTTTCGATTAAAATAAAATCGGCCCAACCGTTTTTGAGAAAAGGTCGAGAAAATCGGCTCACACACACATATACACATTAACACACACTCGCTCACATATGCATACACACATGCACACACTCGCTTGCTCATATTCTTTTTCCAAATTTTGTCCCATTCGATTCAGAATTACTTGAAACGTCAAGAAAATATGAAATTAGCAATTCTCCTTTATTATAACGTTTTGTTATAATATTGATATGAAGATATCCATCCAATATCACAACAATGATTTAAATATTTGTCCCAAAATGAATTGTATAAAACAGTGAAAATATGTATTTGGCATTCGAGTATTTTTTTTATAAAAAATGGAAAATTTATATAGTTCTATAAAGTTTATATGTTCGTTTTGTAAAAAAATTGTATCTAGTGTTGAATATATTTTTATTTTTTCAAATCTGCTGGCCAAAAATTGTCTCGTTTTTAAATTCAGGCATAGCTCGATGTTCTTATATAAGGTGATAAATTAGGAATTTAACTCGAGTTTGCTGTTCACCAAATGCCTTTCATATCTCATATAAATAAAGCAAGTTTCCGATTTTTTCATCTCTTAAATTATAAAAAAAAAATAAAATCACTATTAGAGGCATAGGGTAAACAGACATTCAATGTCAAATTTTTAACCAAAAAGTTAAATTGTTATAAAATTACAAATTCGTTGTCATTCATTTTTTTAACTTTAAGAAATATTACAAACACATACTAATACTAAACAAATTAATAATGATAAAGCGAATTTCGAGGATGACAAACAAGAACATTTATTGTTAAAAAATATCATAAAAATTTTCAACCTTTATATAATACGTCACTGAAGGAATATTTATACATTTTTTTTTAATTTTTTTTATATTTTTTTGTTTGCGACTATTCGTCCATCAGCAAATATTTCGCCGTACTTTCAAAAATGTCTAAATCGAATTGAAATCCATTGATAGGGCGTCCGGGTATGCTTTCAAGTAAAATGTATGACTTTTTTACAATTTTTCAATTGTATCATGCATACCATAATAAAAGTATCATACACACTTTTTATTAAATGTACATCAATTGAGCTTGAAGAGACAAAATTACTTTGGAAATATCTAAATGATTTTGATTGCTTTTACAAAAGGCATATTGTTTTTTCTCTCAATTTATGGACGTAACTTGCTTATGGTTAAACGAGTTATGATAAACCACATAATTGTATATACACTAAAATATATATATATATATATATATATATATATATACAAACACACAAACACAAATAATTTATAATGAAATGTCTCCAGCGTTTTGAATTGCATTACATTGTGACTGAAAGTTATAAGAATACCTGAAAACATCATATAATAAATATCATGATTTCTCACTGTCATGTTTTGTAAAGAATTTCTGCGATTCAAGTTTTTATCTGCATTTACAATTTGTTTGGAAGGCGATTCTTCGTAGTTTGCGAAGGTAATGAAATGCAAAACCAACACCAGCTAAATTGAAATTATCAATACGAAGTGCAAAAATACTCCATTATTATAACACTGTACACCTCAAATGAAACATTAGACATTTTTTATGGAGATATTCTAAAATTTTTTCTATTTTAACTCACTTTTCTGTGTTTACATAACAATTGCTCATAAGATATTATTGTATCTTGATTGCTATTTTGAGGAAAAAAATAAATTATAATACTGTACAGTCTTACTACTATAATCTCTTTGATGGCGATATACAAAACATTTTTTTAATTTTTATATGGTCACACTTTATAACAATATTAATTTTTAACTTCCTGAAAATTAATCACACAGTGGTGATACCCATTTTCACTTGTAAATATCGATCAATTATGTTTCCAAGTTGAAATATAGCAATAAGTTCATTATCACTGTTAGAAATGGGACAACCATTGGGCTGTCGTCTAATAAAAATATATTAATGTATATTATTAGAATAACTCTAATATTGATAACTTTTTATTAGATGCTGCAATGTCGGTAAGGGGTAATTTTACTTGGAAACATATTGCTATCTGCATTTTAAAGTGAAAACCGATGTTACTACTGCTTGGTACCAGGCTGCCTACGACGAGTATCAAAAACTCAAAATTCGTCATTCAACAAAACAACATTTTTGCACATTCTAGTTCTTGTTATCTAATTATTCCCAAATGTCATTGCGCTCTTTTCATCAAAAAATTATAATCAAATATATATACTCACACGCATTCAAAACACAATATAAATATTGCATACATATATACATTCATATAGAAATTCCCATTTTCCCTAAAGTAATCCAAAACCAATAATAAAATCTTGAAACAATGGTATGAAAAATATGCGTAGATTTTAATATGCAAATCATATTGTTATGTAGTTTGCACTATTCAAAAATACGAATTTGAATCTAAACTTTACATACTGCAACTCATAAGGCTATTAGATTTTATTCTAGATGGGTTGTAACAAAGGTCACACACAGTTTTTGACTTCGGATTTCCTCGTGGATTAGTGGTTTCCAATCAGAATTTTGAGATTTTGATACCCGTCTTGGACAGCCTGATGCCAAGTGATAGTAATATCGGTTACTTTTTTTTTACTTTAAAATACAAGTGTTTCCAAGTAAAATTACCCATTACTGACATTGCAGCCCTAATAAAAAGTCCAATCAATATGAATATATTCTAATAATATTTTCACCAAAAAGATTTAAGTCAACCGTTGGGTTGCCATCTATAAGGCCATGTTATTAAGAAGTCAGCACAATAAGTCACAATAATACTATAAAATTCTGATAATTGTTAAATGAAAAAATTTAAAAAAAAAGTCTTCACTTTTTGTCTCCAAGTCTTCTATTATCAAGTGGACAAGATAAATATTTGTATTTATTCAGCCATTCATAAAGAGCATGATGAAACTCCATAAATATTATCTTAAGCTATAGCAAGTTATTTTTTGTCAGATAAATATTGAACATGCGATCTGTCATACCAAATTGATTTCTTCGCCAAATTGATTGCGTTAGTTATACCCATATATTTTTTCATCAATCGAAGTTTTTATATATACAGTATATACGTTAGTTCCATTCAGTATTATAGAACATAAAATATTTTGTGCGTGATCAGTTGTTCAAATCGATCGAAACTGTAATAGCACTGAATGAAATAACATAAACGAATTTTTCTCATATTTCAGATAAGTAAATATGTTAATCAAACTAATTTAAATGATAATCGGAATAGATATAACGGTTTTCAGTTTCGGGCAAAACGCGATTCCATGTTTATATAAAAATGTCCAAACTGCAAACAAAACAATAGTTGTTATTTAGATACACATGTAATGAATGTGAAAATGTAAATGCAAAATATTTTAATTGTGTTAATAAAATATATGTTGTATCGTGTATCATTTGATTTTTGCACTGTAATAATATAAAATAAAATATTATATTTTGATAATTATTATTTGGTAGCATAAATCAATATTACAAATATACTGCCCTGATAAACCACAATATATTGAAATATGTTCCTGCAAGCCTAATAATACGAATTTTGTTGATGAAAATGTAAACTGGTGGTGCATGTCATCGTGCTTTGAAAGAATTTGCTTGAATTTCCCTTACCGAAAATTTTTTTTTTTAAAATGCGTCCAAACTAACATTGAGAGAATTTTGAAATGTTTGAAAAAG